AACAAAAATATGTAGATACCTAAAGGCAATTTACACGTCATTGGCTTTTTACTGGTGACCTTGAAACTGGTCTTTTCCCTAATAAGCTTTTGATCGCGGAGACGGATAGACCAGAAAATTTTACTTTTATACATGACCTTGATAGTGAACGTACTATGTCGAAATAATTCTTGCTCAAGGTCATATCTAAACGCGCAATTTTCCACTCTATTCGTTTCCGGGGTTAAAAGTACAAAACTGATTTGACCTTGATTAGAGATTCGGAGGTCATCCACCTATAAACGGAGCGCCACCAGCCAAAGCAAGTGTATTTTTTAGACTGGTAAAACGTCCGTCGTTCAAAATTTTCTCGAGTAGCTTTAATTTCTATATGACCATCACAAACATTGGGAAATACCGTGGTGCCGTTTTCAGAGTAAAAAATGGGATGTCGAGCTTTTGTAAATATTATGTCCATAGTCAAATCTTAATAATCTCATAGTTGTAGCCCTTGAAAAACCTGCATTTATCAGAGAAGAACCTCCCCAACACCAATTTTGTTTCTTTCTTGTCAGTCGCGTGGTGGATAAGGAGTTGGGGGCGGAGACCGCTCAAGGTCAAATTTTCAAAAAGTTGCCATTTTTAAGGTGAACTATCAGTTCGGACGTAGCTATAACTTTTATATTGGGGGAGTCCAAAATATGGTGAAACCGGATAATCGATAGGTCATTTATTGACCTTAAAGGTCAAATCAATGCCAAGACGATTTTTTAAATATACTTTTAACCTCGGAAGCTGATAGGGTTGAAACTTTTTCGTACAAGTATGAGCTTAGGTAAAAAAATTTACCTTGAACATCCTGGTCAAGGTCATTGTAAAAAACCTCATTTCATACGATTTCGAGAACGTTTCTGAAGATACACCATATTGTATACGAACCTAAGGGCAGCAAAGGTTTGAATTTTCGCTTGGCGATTCAGCGGTGACCTTGAAACTAAACCTGACCACAATAAAATCAAGATCAAGGCAACGTTTTGACTAACTCTTGTACTTTCGACCGCGTTTTGACCTTGAACGGCGACCAAAAAAAAATCCTTGTTTAAAAAGAATCCAGGGACCTTTCTGGAAATAAAACAAAAATATGTAGATACCTAAAGGCAATTTACACTTCATTGGTGACCTTGAAACTGATGTTTTCAATAATATACTTTTGATCCCAGAGACGGATAGACCAGAAAATTTTACTTTTATACATGACCTTGATCGTGAACCTACTATGTTGAAATAATTCTTACTCAAGGTCATATCTAAACGTGCAATTTTCCATTCTATTCGTTTCCGAGGTTAAAAGTACAAAACTGGTTTGACCTTGATTAGAGATTCGGGGGTCATCCACCTATAAACGGAGCGCCACCAGCCAAAGAAAATGTATTTTTTAGACTGGTAAAACGTCCGTCGTTCAAAATTTTCTCGAGTGGCTTTAATTTGAATATGACCATCAAAAACATTGGGAAATACCGTAGTGCCGTTTTCAGAGTAAAAAATGGGATGTCGAGCGTGTATAAGGAGTTGGGGAGCGGGGACCTGCCACCCAAACCGTACAGGTCAAATTTTCAAAAAGTTGCCAATTTTAATGTGAACTATCAGTTTGTCGTGACCTCGGACGTAGCTTTAGCTTTTATATTGGGGAGTCCAAAATATGGTGAAATCGGATGATCGATAGGTCATTTATTCAATACAAAAAATTTAGTTTAGGATGTTTGTTTGTTTAAGTTTTATTTAGCATGATTGCTACAATTTTATTCTTCTAAAAACTAAACAATTACATAACATAAGACATTCAGAAAAAAAAGTTGCATCTCTAAAAATTTTCATTGTCCATGAAATATTCTTTTAATTTTCTTTTAAATATCTTTAAATTACAAGTAGACTTTATTTCATTATTTAGTTTATTAAATTCCAGTAATCATTTCTGAAATATTGATTTGCTAGTTATATTACTATTGGAATTTTGTAAATAAAAATCTATATTTCCTCTTGTACAGGGTGGTCCATAAGTCCTTTGAAATTTCAAATTTGAATAAAATTTAACGGGTGAGCGTGAGCGGCGCGGGCGAGGTGGGGGCAGTATCTTCAGTGTCTGGGAATTCAGTCGTCATGGAGTGTTTCACTGGAGCGGATCGTGCTTTTTGTGTGCGCGCGTTTTATCAAAATAATGATTCGGCAACCATTGCGCGGCGTAAATATCGAGAATACCACAATTTACACAATTTTACAAAGTGTCCAACAGCTCAAACGATTAAGAACTGGGTTGCTAAGTTCGAAGAGACTGGTTCGACGTTAGATAAACAGCGGTGGGGTCGACCAAGGACAACTCGTATTGAAGAAAACATCAACATTGTGGCACAGTCTGTTACTTCGGAGCGGTATGTAGCAATGATAGAAGAGTTTTTAACACCAGCGTTGAAGAATGTTCCAGGCTATAATACGCAGACCTGGTTTCAACAGGACGGAGCAACTGCCCACACCTCCAACACTTCTATGCCCGTCGTCTGTCAACTTTTTCCCAGCAAAGTAATTTCTCGAAGAGGAGACATTTCCTGGCCACCAGGTAGTCCAGATTTGACCCCAATGGACTTCTTTTTATGGGGCTACCTCAAGAGTAAAGTGTACGACACCACTCCGCGATCAGTTGATGTTCTGAAAGAAAATATCCGAAGAGAAATGGCAAGCATTACAGTGTTGACTTGCCGCGCAGTCATCGACAATTTTAGACGTCGTTTATATGAGTGCCGTGATCGTAATGGATTGCATTTAGACGATGTGATTTTTAAAACATAATTCCCATTCAATAAAGATGATAACAAAATATAATAATTCTTCATAATGTAACTAGTTTGGTTTTATTCCTTTTTTTCCAGCTCAAAGGACTTATGGGCCACCCTGTATAATAATTGTGGTAATGATTATTCAATTCTATGTAGTGTTCTAAATGTTCCGGCAAAAGATGATTTTTTACGTTAAATATAAAAATAAGAACCAAATATGATATGAAATTTTTTATATTCAACCACTGCAACTCTTGTAACATAGATCTTATTTTGGTGTATTTATTTTTATTCAATATTATTCTCATAGCTTTATTTTGGAAGACTTGTAATTTTGAGAACACAGCTTCACTGACAGTGAACAAGATAGTTGAACAATATAGTAAATGCGGTAGAATAATTGTATTATAGCCTATTTTCTATGAGAAGCCCTATAAAAGTAATTTGTTTTTATTGGCAATTTTTTAAATAATGTATTCATAGTGATCCTCAAACTTTAGTTTACTATCAATATACTTTGAAGTTGAGTCATTAATTTTCAGATAATGATTGTAGAAGGAAGATAAACCAAAAAGTATCCTCCCGACAAGTATTTCAGTGCGGACCTGTATTTGATCGTGAGGTCTTGGAGCACCGGCATGCCGTCCATATGTGAGGTCTTAAGTCAAATGATTCACGAACCCGTTGTACTAGATTAACAAAGGCACGAGGGGTTGGTTGCACTCGATTGTGAAACCGATCCGCATAAACATGTACCATTTTTTATTTCGTTTGAGCCACGCAACAGACACCACTATCCACTACCGACTGACACTGACTGTATACAACTGAATGAAATAATTGTAAAAACATCGTTCCAAATTCTATCGCTTTTTTGTTTCCGATGCGATGAACCGATAAGGCGAATTATATCCGTTGTCGCCAAACCCGAGCACATAATATTATTATTGAGACAGGGCGGTACTCAAACTTCCAAAGGGCTATAACTTTGTTACTTTAATTTTACCAGAAAAATGGTAAAGGAAAAAACATTTCTTTTGATCAGATCTACTCACTGTTAAAATAAATTACTCAACTTCGAAGTATATACCTAAATAATTAATTGATTCGATATTTTCAATTATTTCTCCATTTATCCTAACTGTGATAATATTTTCATTTAGGTATTTCCCTATTAGCATACATTTTGTTTTAGAAGTATTCAATTTTAGTTTATTTACATTTAACCAATTTACGATTTTTGACAAGTCAGAATTTAGCATTTTTAAAGCAGTGTCTATATTTTTATCTGATAGGTATATTAATGTATCATCTGCAAATATCTGACGTTTACAATAATCTAAAATGTTACAAATGTCTTTAATGTATAAAATAAATAGTAGTAGTACCTTGTGGTACACCAACAGAAATATTTTATGATCTTGATAATGTAGATCCAATTTTGGTTTTTTGACTTCTGTCAATTAAATAGTTTTGTAGAATTTTGAATACAGATCCTTAAAATCCGTAGTGATGCAATTTTGTAAGTAATTTATCCCTGTCAATAGTCTCAAATGCCCTTTTGAAGTCCAAAGACACTGTTACTGTACGTTTCCTATTGTCCATACATCTCCTCCAGTCCTCTAAAACCATTTGTGTTGCCGTTTCAGTTTCCTGAATCCAGCCTGAAATTTGGTTAAAATGTTATTTCCCTATTGAGGAATGGGAGGCGACTGGACTGCTGAGTCCAAAAAAATCCAAAAGCACTGTGTAGTTTTTATCTTTTTTCCAGCTTTGCGATTAGAACCGGAAGTTTATTATGTATGACAATTTATGTGAATATTTTTTTTATTAGGTGCTAAACTGAAACGGTTATTTTGTAATGAGTCCGGCATTTTTTGTCACACCCTTTCGAAAATATTGAAATATTTTTTCCGCTGTAAAAGATGCAAGAATTTTACGTACTTTCTTTTGAAAAGGTTGCTAACACTACTTACGTGCTCTTTATAGAGGAAATAAGTAAGGTTTTTTGTAATATTTTTTAAAACCTACCATATCAAAAAGTCTGGAGAGGTCTATAAAAGCCGTATTGGTTTCAATCTGTAAGGTTAAAATATGAAACTTTTTGTCCGTCTCTACGAAAAAAATCTAAAAAAAGACCTGACGGCACGCTGAGCTCAAGTTCCATATACGCCACAGATACTGGATGGGAGCAGAAAAACAAAGCCATGCTTACTATCTTACATTTTAATATACACAGATTCAAAAATTTACAATACTGGATAAATATGGTAAATGATAAACGGAATATTCTGCTATACATAAAATAACATTTGTAACATTCTTAACAACAACGATTTTCTACATGATTATATGTGTTATACTTAAAAGTCCGGTAAAGATAATCTGCCATTTCATTTTATATGTTTCAGTGCTCAACACAACCTATTTTATTGCAAAAACCACATTTGTGAATTGAAAACTGCGATATTCCGGAAGTGATGGAAGAGATTTCTCCAAAGGCAGAAAAACGTAATCATGTGCAACTTGAACAAAATGGCATGCAGCTAGAAAATACTTAAAAAATCGGAATGTAGTTATCAATCTTAGCCCTATGTTTCTGTGCCACACACTCCGCGATCCAAACGATGTTACGGCATTCCTGCTCTTTCAATTTCAAATACGCGTAGAACACGCCAAAGTGAAATTGCTGCATGAACGCGTTCAAGTTGAGGCGCACCTCGTGCTCGAAGAACTTATCTTCGAGCGTCTTATCCCCAGGGTTGTTTCCAGCACCCTCGAAAAGCTTGGAGTACTCTGCATAGTACTCTGCTACCGCCTTGACTTGCTCGTAATCTTCCGCTCTTGCTAGAGCGGCTAAACCGTCAGGATGGAGTTTACCGCACCTGAAAAAAAAATCGTATTCATACGTCAACTAAATTTAGTAAGCAGAGAAATCCAAACATCAATGACCAGGTAACAGTGGTTAGTTTTTGTTCGCGTACGTCGACGTGTTTATTTACAATGTTCTCGAATCAAAAGTTCGCCGACATGTTAGTTTACGGTGAAGCTCGTCAGAATTCAAATGTTGCGTAGGACTATCGCATACTATAGAATCCTACGGGAAAATTTGCCTTATCCCTACCATGTACAACGAGTGCAGGCCTTGTTACCAGAAGACTATCCTCGCAGACTAACATTCAGTCAGTGGTTTTTGCACAAAAACATTGAAAATCCGGATTTTTTTAAAAACATTCTAGCGACGGACGAATGTAGGTAATTGGCTCTTTCGAGTTACCCCCAAAGTTGTCAGGACAAGGATACCTTAGCTTTCTAGCCAATAACCTACCACAACTTTTGGAACAGACCTTAGACAAGATGCCATTACAACGGAGACAGAATTTGTGGTTTCTTCATGACGGGGCACGACCACATATTTTTAGAGGCGTCATTCAGTATTTGAATCAAAATTTTAAACATAATGATCCAAATTAACCATAACAAAATTGAGGTATCTGCAATTTATCGTCCGCCATGTTCAGAACCCCACGAGTTTTTGAAGAATATCGATTTTTTTTTTCAAAATCAAAATAAAGTTCATTTAAAGCAACATATTTTCTTGGGAGATGTCAATATAAATATTTTGGACAATGCTCCCATCACAAATGAATACTTGAATATCCTATCAAGTAACGGATTTCTGTCCTATATAAACCTACCTACAAGGTCCATCAGTGGCACATGTATAGATCACTGCTTTGTGAAATACCTATCCAACAAAATTACTTGTATACCAATAATCCCAGAAAGCGATATTACTGACCACTTCTCCACTATTTTACTGATATCTTCAAATGAAAAACATTCTAACATCCCTACCGTTAATAACAACCAGGAAAATTACAAATTTTTTGTCGACAATTCAAAACTAATATCAAATGTCAAACAAGAATCCTGGGAACAATTATACTCTATAAATAATATAGACAAAGCAACGGGACTGTTCATAGAGAAAATAAAAAAACTAATAGATATTAGTACCAATAAAGTAATAATTAGTCACAAAGAGAAAAGCAGAAATGCCTGGATTACCAAAGGATTAATAACATCGGCAATAGAAAAAGAAAGACTATATAATATAATGAAACTAACGCCAACTACAGAGAATACCGACTGTTACAACCAATATAAAAATAAATTTATAGAGCTTGCAAGGCAAACCAAACGAAAACATTACCTAAATAAATTAAATAATAACTTAAATGATCCTAAGCGGCTTTGGACAACTATTGATGAGATTACTGGGAAAACAAAATTTAAAGAGTGTGTCACTGAGTTGAACAGGGGAACAGTATTAAAAAATACTCAACAGATATGCGATGAATTTGTACAATTATTTACTGACATAGGCGAAAATTTAGCAAGTAATATACAAGCAAATGTACAAAATACTCAGCCTCCAAAAAGAACTTTGAACTCATTTATTTTGGATAAAGTCGAACAATGTGAAGTATACACCACTGTTAAGTCCTTAAAAAATCGGAAAAGTCCTGGGCTCGATGGTATTAAAAGCGAGCATTTGAAAATTATAGCCGAGGACATAACAGAACCACTCACTTACCTAATCAACAAATGCTTTGAATCTGGAATATATCCCTCAATTTTAAAAAAAGGTAATATAATACCGATACATAAATCAGGAACAAAAACAGATGTTAACAACTATAGACCAATATCAATAATATCCAGTGTAGCAAAGGTTTTTGAAAAAGTTTTATCTACTAGAATGATTCGATACCTCACAAAATTCAAAATTTTAAGTGAAAATCAATATGGATTTACAGAAGGGAAGGCTACATCGGACGCAATAACGAAAATTGTAAATCAAATACATCAAAATATTGATAACAGAATCCCTTCAATCTGCATTTTTGTTGATTTAAAGAAAGCTTTCGATACAGTTAATTACAAATTATTATTAGAAGCATTGGAGAGAATTGGTTTCAGAGGAAACGCGTACTCACTGATCGAAAATTATTTGTCAAATCGCCCACAATCTGTGCAGATATCAGGATCATTTAGTAAAGAAATGTATATTAAGTGTGGTGTCCCACAAGGAACTGTCTTAGGTCCGCTGTTATTCAATATATATTTAAATGATATTTTCCAAATTAATTGTGTTGGCAAAATAACTAGTTTTGCAGATGATACTGCAATATTATATGAAGGCACTGACTGGTCTGATCTGAAAAATGTAATTGAAAATGATTTTATCAAAATTATTCGGTGGTTTAATAGTAGAAAATTAAGCATTAACTACTCTAAAACACATTTTTTACCATTTGGATCTTATGCTAGACATCTGCCAAATTACACAAATTTCTCCTTCAACATTAATGATCAAAAAATGCAAATTAATAGAGTGCCCAACATAAAATACCTTGGAGTGGTCTTGGATCCTCACTTACGATGGGACATCCATGTCAATTATATTTTAAAGAAAGTTAGATTTGTATCCTACAAAATTCAATACCTTGGGAATATATTGACAGAAAAATATCTTCGAACATTATACCATGCACTGACTGAGCCTCATCTCACATATGGTATATTAGCATGGGGAGCTGCATGTTCCTCACATATCTATAATTTAGATGTTTTTCAAAAAAGTATTCTAAAAATGATATTTAAAAAACCGAAACCTTATCCCACTGAAAAATTATACGTAGATGTTCGAATGTATGATATAAGACAGCTTTATTTCTTACACAGTATCACTCACTACCATAAATTTGTAAACACCGACCAAAAAATTAAACATAATCATTATACCAGGTACAAAATTCGTGGCACAGTAGTTCCTCAACCGCATAAATCTATAATGCAGCGATCATATCTCTATTTAGCGCCTAAATTTTATGAAATTATACCTAAAGACTTAAAAGATTTACGTTTCGGAAATTGTTTCAAAAGAAATTTAAAAAAGTGGCTACATTCTATATCTAGGACTGAAATTCATAAACTCATAAATACGAACATCAACTAAATACATAATCTACTGTAGCTAATTTTTGTCCTTTTTTGTCATTTGTATCCTACAGTTTCAACTTAAATTATTGGTCCTTGTACAGGCGATGCCTTCTATTGGGCCTATTTTGATTTTATATTTATTTACTCATATTGTTTGTTATCTTTGTACATTGAGTAAATAAATATTATTATTATTATTATTATTATCCAAATCGTTGGATCGGTCGAAAGCTCCTGATCCTCGAAAATGGCCGGCAAGATCTCCCGACCTCAATCCGATGGATTTCTGGTATTGGGGAGAACTTAAAGGGATGGTTTGTGGGGCTGGTCAAATAACAACTGAAGCACAGCTTCGCGAAAAAAATTTAATGCGGCTGAAATAATAAATGGACAACTCCATCTTTATTTACACTGCGTTCCGTCATAATTTGCGTCTGGCATTGGCGTTGTCAGATTTTATTTTACTTTAAAGTCGCTTTTCTCTAAAAAAACGCCGTTTTCACCCCCAGGTTATATGAAACTTTTTGCTTCTTTAAACCCGCTCTATCACCCATTTAAATAGTGACTATCATAATGTTAACACCCTGTATATTCAGCTCAAAAATTATCCTTTATAAAATGAAGAACCACACGTTCTTGTCATATTATCTTTTGTATTGTATATGAATCGGAAAGACTGCTCTTACCACGGTTTTTCATTTTTGACAGTATTCTGAGCTGGAAATACACATTTTCTTACCTAGGATACAGCTTAGCTCTATCGTCCTTGCTCAACTCTGTTCCAAACGAATTGATGGTGATGATAATCGCCCGCCTGTCAGCCTCAAAGGCTAGAATTTCGCACATACAATCAGCCGTGGTGCCTCCAATCTCCTTGCAGAAAGTCCAGAATGCCTCAAGGTATGCCTTGTACAGCGTGTTACGGATGATCTCGATGTTCATCTCATCCAAATCTTGCTCGCTGATGCAGTCCACAAAGAATGGGGCCAGAGGTGTGTCCACCAAAACAGCATTGTATAGTTCAGCTGGAGTCGCAGCTACATGAATGGCTTCCATTTGTTCAAAACTGCCCAATGGGTGACATTTTGGAATCAGTTCGCCAATTGGACGCTGATGTAACGTTCCTAAAATAAATATCAGAAATTGCTCTATCTCTCACGTTTTCTCAAACATGTTGTTGTTGAAGATTTATTTAGCATTAATGCTACAATGTCACTTTTATATAATGATTTGTTTACATATTTTTCGTCAATCCATTTGCTGTAATCTTACATTCTATTCTATTCTATTAAAATTAAAATTACGTCACTATGTATTTTTATTATTCATAAAGTGATTCTTTAATTTCACCTTAAACATTTTTAAATTCGAACTCTGTTTAATATCATTATTCAATCGATTAAATTCAAATACTCCCTTTGGAAATATAGATTTACTAATTATGCTACTTTTTCAATTTTGCAGATGAAAATCTATACTGCCTCTAGTTTCATAGTTATGATAATGACTATTTAATTTTGTGAAGTTCTCTAAATGTGGTGGTAATAAATGATTTTTTAATTTGAATATGAAAAATATATGAAATTTTTCTCATTCAACCACTGCAGTTCTTCTAACATAGACTTAATCCTAGCATATTTGTTTTTATTTAAAATGATTCTCATAGCTTTATTTTGTAGAATTTGTAGTTTTGAAAATACGTTTTAATTTGCTGTAAACAAGATGGTTGAAAAAATGGGGAAGAATTATAGTGTTATACACAATTTTTTTGGAATACATACTCAGATTATGGGAAACTCTATAGAAGTAATTCATCTTTTTCGATATTTTTGAAATAATGTATTCATAATGTTCGTGAAACAGTAGCTTATTATCCACATATATACCAAAATATTTAAATGACTCAACTTTTTTTTTATATCGAAACAGCCGCGCAGGCAGAAGCCTAAATGCCGGAACACAGCGGCTGCTATGATGATCCCAAAGAAATTTTGTTAACTACTTCAATTTTTTCATCATTAATCATGAGCCTAATTGTATTATCACCTAGATGTTTCCCTATTGACATATATTTTGTTTTATTAGTGTTTAATTTAAGTTTATTGACATTGTCAAATCGCCCACAATCTGTGCAGATATCAGGATCATTTAGTAAAGAAATGTATATTAAGTGTGGTGTCCCACAAGGAACTGTCTTAGGTCCGCTGTTATTCAATATATATTTAAATGATATGTTCCAAATTAATTGTGTTGGCAAAATAACTAGTTTTGCAGATGATACTGCAATATTATATGAAGGTACTGACTGGTCTGATCTGAAAAATGTAATTGAAAATGATTTTATCAAAATTATTCGGTGGTTTAACAGTAGAAAATTAAGCATTAACTACTCTAAAACACATTTTTTACCACATGGATCTTATGCTAGACATCTGCCAAACTACACAAATTTCTCCTTCAACATTAATGATCAAAAAATGCAAATTAATAGAGTGCCCAACATAAAATACCTTGGAGTGGTCTTGGATCCTCACTTACGATGGGACATCCATGTCAATTATATTTTAAAGAAAGTTAGGTTTGTATCCTACAAAATTAAATACCTTGGGAATATATTGACAGAAAAATATCTTCGAACATTATACCATGCACTGATTGAGCCTCATCTCACATATGGTATATTAGCATGGGGAGCTGCAAGTTCCTCACATATCTATAATTTAGATGTTTTTCAAAAAAGTATTCTAAAAATGATATTTAAAAAACCGAAACTTTATCCCACTGAAAAATTATATGCAGATGTTCGAAATGTATGATATAAGACAGCTTTATTTCTTACATATTCTCACTACCATAAATTTGTAAACACCGAACAAAAAATTAAACATAATCATTATACCAGGTACAAAATTCGTGGCACAGTAGTTCCTCAACCGCATAAATCTATAATGCAGCGATCATATCTCTATTTAGCGCCTAAATTTTATGAAATTATACCCAAAGACTTAAAAGATTTACGTTTCCGAAATTGTTTCAAAAGAAATTTAAAAAAGTGGCTACATTCTATATCTAGGACTGAAATTCATAAACTCATAAATACGAACATCAACTAAATACATAATTCACTGTAGCTAATTTTTGTCCTTTTTTGTCATTTGCATTCTACAGTTTCAACTGAAATTATTGGTCCATGTACAGGCGATGCCTTCTATTGGGCCTGTTTTGATTTTATATTTATTTACTCATATTGTTTGTTATCTTTGTACATTGAGTGAATAAATATTATATTATTATTATATTATTCAACCAATTCATAATTTTTTCAATATCACTATTTAACAGTTCTAAAGCAGTGTCCAAATGCTTATGTGATATATATATAAGTGTATCGTCTGCAAATATTTGAATTTTGCAGTGTTCTAAAATGTCAGAGATATCATTTATATAAATAATAAATAGTAACGGCCCTAATTTACTCCTCTGTGGCACCCCTACTGATATATTTTGAATACTTGATATAATATTTCCAAATTTAGTTTTTTGACTTCTATTTACTAAATAATTTTGTAAAATGTGTAAAACTGATCCTTTAAAGCCATAGTGACGCAAATTTATTAACAATGTTTCCCTATCTATAGTTTCAAATTCACAATATTTCTTAATTTTTTCTTTATATGTAATAGGAAAGTAATAGAAAGAATAAAAAATGTAAATTGGTGAAGTTTGAGGAAACCATTCTCAAATAGGGAAAATACATAATTCAAAGGGAACAATTTTCAGTACCTACATTTAGAACAGGGACAAGAAGATAGCATAATTTCACATTTCTATCATGTAGGAAAGACAATTTTGATTCATATGTAGATTGTATTGATCACATGTTCATTCAAATAATGTCAAGGTCAGCAAGAATTGTAAAAAGGATGTTATTCAAGGGTACTTTATGTCGCTTCGGAAAATAAAAGCAGAGCGAAAAGTCAAAACTTGTGAAATTATTCTGAATCCCTATTTAACAGATTCCAGCAATTTTGAAAAGTTGGTCTGCTGTAATAGTTAGGGACCTACCTGTAATAAGCAAAATTATATTGTCGATCATATAACTGTAGGTGATGAAGTCCATGAATGTAGATAAGGGCTCGACGGCTTGGTTTCTCATATGTTGGAACTCAATAACCAGCTTCTCTCTCAATTTAGAGTCGATTGTGGACACAGACAAGGGTGAAGGTTCATTGGCCAAAAAGGTTCCATAATCAGTGCCTTGCAGATGCAATTTGAGATCTGAAACGGTTCAAATTATAAGAAAAAGCCTTAAAACTTTAATTGTTAGAGGTACCTTCAAGAGTTTCACATTGCACCAAGTTCAAATAGTCAGCTTGCTTGAGGATACCACACTTGAAGCCCCTGCATAGGCCCTCCAGGTAGCCGTTGTCGATGTTGAAAAGACACCCCTTCATTATTATATTTTTTAAATAGGAAAAATATCAATTTTATATTCTACAGAAATCACCTCACCCTACTGTCATATGATTTTGGCGTTTCTATTGTCACGTACATCACGTGAAGTTAAGTGAAGTTAAATTGGTTGCATATGATTGCTGTCATATTAGCTATAGAACTGGATTTACTTAGAACTACATATTTTTTAGGAACAGCAATCTTTTTTCTTCGCCACCATTATTTGGCACAACAATATCTTTCAGCCCGAGGAAAGATAACATGGCCATGCAAAAAAACTATGGAAATATACTCTACTAGGCTCTCGAAAACTGTCCGTACCGTAATTCTTCTCGAAACTCCCTTGAAAAATGCAAATGAAGATTGGAAAACTACCGCTTTGACTAACTAAATGACTCCGTCGTTACCCCGGGATAGACACACATAACATACACTGCAGAAGGTTTAGTCACGTGCTATTCATAGGACATTTTGCGTTAGTGTCATTCACCAATTTTTTCTGAATGCCACGTGGTTGTCAGATTGTGTACAAACGCCGCATGCGACTCTGCATAAATCTGAGACTCTTGTACAGTTATATATTGGGAATACATTAATGATATATGGAAGATTTTATAACGCCATGTGTTATTAACATATTTTTGCTGTGTTGACAAATAATAAGTAATCACTTATCTGTTTAAGCAGCAGCGTCAATAACACATGCCATTATAAAATCATCGGTATATCCTAGACATTTGAACATTTGAGAACAGTAAAAGAATCTATACTTGCGAATATATTTTTATCTAAATTTCATATTGTATGAACATCAATAATATTTATGGTCCAAGTATTTTCATTTCTGGTGATGGTCTTCTGCAGCACCTGCATGGAAAGATTGTTAGAATTAGTGATGAAAACAAATTATTTCAAAAAGAAATAATAGTTATCATTAACAACTATGAAGACCTCCCGAGCCCCGCACGCAGGTGAATCTAGCGCGATGCAGCAGAGCGGTACTTGGGAACATATTCTTCGGAACAAAAGGATTAAATTTTGTAGCACATTTTTTAAAGAAGTAAAGTGTGAAAGTGAAATGAAATATGTATTTAGGTAAATGATCTTGAAGTGCGTGTTTCTGGAAGAAGGCTCCTCAACATAGCAAATTGGGTAAGTAACTTTACATCTTTGGAATCGCTACCATCATATACATATGTAGATTTTGGTTAATAGTATGAAAACTAATGTCTAGATAATTAATTACAATAGCAATCAACGTTACTTCAACAACTTGATTCAGTCATTTCCAATCTCATCCAGACTTGCAAGAGCAATGTTTGAAAATTTTCAGATCCGTCTCTGTCCTTATGCCTCCGGATCTCAGTTTTATAGCCGTTTTATGACTATCGGCAAAAATGTAAACGAATACAATATCGTTGTCGTCTACTATACAACGTTATTAAAATTCTCATTTATTTAAAAAAACATAGGATATCAACCCTAACACACAAGTGATGAGTAAGCAAGGCTCACCAAGTTTGCTGCACAGATATCCTGTTTTCCTCAGAAGAGTTGGACAAGTAGACCTAATTTCCACTGTGGAGACACTTGACACCCACGTGACAGCACTAAAGCACTACTGAGACACAATCGAGAACCCTATAGTGAACACTTCTAAAAGAAAGTAGGTAAACGGAATAGGGCTCTGCACAGAGCTGTGAACGCATAGACATTCCGCTGCGGCGACGGTTGCCGAGAGACTGATGCGTGTGAGTGATGCACCTCGCTGCGGCGATACGGTACGGCCGGGTAGTACAGCCACGCCCCTTTCCAGCTCCCACTCCGCGCGTCCGCTCCGTCAACCTAAACCTCGAGTCGCTTCTTGATACTATCAGATAAGAAAACGCAGACGCACGGAGTGGGAGCTGGAAAGGAGCGTGACTGTACTACCCGGCCGTACTGTATCGCCTCAGCAAGGTACAGCACTCACACGCTTCAGCAGGGATGTTCCGACATGCACAATTGTGCATATTATGCACAATTTTACGAATATGTGCACAATATGCACCCCCCACACCACACAAAATATGCACAATCGCCAATAAATAAAGTGCATTTTTTTATACAAAACTGGCAATGAATTTTCTTAACAACTGCATGAACGAGTGAAATGTACTGTTAGACACATACAAAATACTAATCCAGTAATTATTTGTTACGCATCCGAGTCCCGATGATTGTTCATAATTGATGGCTTTAGTTAAATTTAATAAATAAATATTTTTTTTATTCTTGCATTATTTTCTTAAATTCGCATTAAACAATAAAAAGGTTCCATGAAATTTAAGTTTTTTTTTAAATTGGCGGTTGCGCCAGAAAATCAGTATACATATATGCAAATTTTTAAAGAAATATGCACAATTTCTATTAACATCTTTGCCCAAATCTCTATTCGGTTAAGCTATTTTTTTTAATGGTGGTGTTCACTATAGGGTTCTCGATTGTCTCTCAGTGGTGTTTTAGTGTTGTGACGTGGGTGTCAAGTGTCTCCAAAGTGGAAATTAGGTCTACTTTCAACTCTTCTGAGGGAAACAGGATACATGTGCAGCAAACCAGGTGATCCTTGGATAATAATTCTACTTGTGTGTTAAGGTTGACATCCTATGTTTTTTTAAATAAATTGCACACATTGCATACACTGAGAGATTAATTCCACATGATCGACGAGTTATAAGTTGGATTCAAGTTATCAAGCTATCCATTTTTAGCTTCCTCAAAATTATTGCCCAATATCTCTGCGTATAAGACGGATACTAATAAATAGTAGAGTAAAATGAAAATCGTACTTCTCCTATTAATGATCATGTAATTTCGGATCAAATAGTTAATGAATATATTTATATAATAAAACATTGTTTTTTTGTTGGAAGACGTCTCCCGTATTCAAAAAGTATTTGATCCTATGAAACTGGGCATTTAAAAAATGTTCAGATACATTAACATTTCATATATCTCCATTGGTATTCCTCAATATTTTATTCAAAACTTCTTTTTTTATATAACGTTCTATCAAAATACCAGAGGTAGCAAAATCGTCCGATGAGCTGACAACGCCGCAATCCAGGTGACAAGAATGACAAGGTTATCTGTCAAGACGAGTGTCTATCCCGAGATACCGACAGCTAATTGAGAACGTCAAAGCGGCAATTTTCATTTGCATTTTTTGAAGTGTTGTGCAACGATTTCGGTCAAAATTTGCCATTAACTTGGCCATGTATTCTTTACTCGGACCTATCTTCCTTTTATCAGTAAATGGGAATCAAACCTGAAAGAAAGGCGAGGTTTAGTACTAGCCAAGATGGCGAGCAGAAATACTTATCTTCTGTAGTCTATTAACATTCTTGAATCTCATGCTCTATGGTAATATCACTCCTGTCAACTAACAAATCTGTCATTTTGACAAATGTCAGCCATTTTTGTTTTTGAAAGCTTTTGCTTTTGGAAAAAATAACTTGTTCACTTGGGAAAAATATATTATCATTCTTAATCATAACAGTAACAATGGCATCGTCTCTGGAAAATCTAGAAACTCAACTGGAGATGTTCATCGAGAATGTCCGACAAATTCACATTATCGTAAGCGATTTCCAGCCACAGAGTCAAAACGTTCTGAATCAAAAATTGTAAGTTAATTTTATGATTGAATACCATTGTTTTACAATAGTTTTTAATTTTGTGCAGGCAAGCGTTGGTGCATGGACTACAAGAAGTCGACAAACTGAAATCACACGTTCAAGACGTTCATGTGCCCTTGGAGGTTTTTGAGTAAGTTCCCTTGAGATTCATTGAAATTAGTAGTAACGACGCATTTTTGCAGCTACATCGATCAAGGCCGTAATCCACAGTTATACACCAAAGACTGCATAGAAAAAGCCCTAGCAAAGAACGAACAGGTCAAAGGAAAAATAGACGCTTATAGGAAATTTAAGGCGAATATGCTTGTGGAACTCAGTAGGACATTTCCAAATGAGCTAAATAAGTACAGAGCGTTGAGAGGGGATGAATAACCATTGTTGATTTAGATGAATGATTTTCACATGCTGTATTTTAGACACAATTTTTGAGTAGGGGGTTGAAAAAATAAATTACAAAATAGCTTCAGTAAGTTATGGTATATGTATTAAAATCCTCAGAAATTGTATAAAAAATTGAGTCTAACTTAGCTCAAGCATCTGATCGGTGTTCAAACAATGATTATGGTTTTTATTTATTGAATAAGCACACTTTCACAAACTTGCTGTTAGAATAGAACCTAGTATTATGTGCAATAAGTAATTTTTTACTTTTAATAAAATGCTACATCCACTTCCAAGTTGACATCAGTACTGAATACCTACACCTATCCATTTATAGTTGTTTCAGTTAAAGAACATTTCTCGTGAATATTTCAGGCACATTTAGTTGTGTTCTGTTCTTCTATTTCTTAATCAGGACCTTTCTTGAAAAATTAAAAAAGAATATCTCAAAAACCGTGAAACGTTTACTAGGATCATTTTTCGGTATGTTGTAGATCTGCCTTTTGCCTATCTTCCCCATTTGTTTGTCATACTATTTACTAGAGTATGAGGTGTTTGATTCATCTTCACAGTGTGAGGGACAATCAAAATAGTGGGTTTTAATCAAAAATTTCAGGTATGAAATTTCTTATTGTATGAGCCACAGCTCAAATGTTGGAACACTGTCTGAAACCAGGTATAACAAAATTTCATAAAACAAAAATGGCGGTTTTTGGTGAACTTTGAAATTTCAATTCCACAGGTAAGTAGCCCCTCACAAAACAGTCTAGAGTTGTTAAACCACACGATCTTGGCGGCCATTCGTCAAGACCATTTCTCGACACGTTCACCGAATTTTGATTTCAATATGTCGATTGTTTCACCCGCTGTGTGGCTTGTGGCACCATCCTGTTGATACTACATATTGACACAAAAAAGTCTAGAGGTGTTAAATCACACGATCTAGGCGGTCAATCGATATAATACGTTCACCGAATTTTGATTTTAAAATGTCGATTGTTTCATCCGCTTTGTCGCTTGTGGCACCGTCTTATTGAAACCACATATCATTAATGTCTACCCCTTCCAATTGACCAAAAAAATTTCGTTGCAACATGTCTCTAGCGATCCCCGTTGACTGTCACGCGACGGTCACTTTCATAAACGGAAAAAAAAACAGCCCAACGACACCATACATTTATTTTTTGTGGATCAAGTGGTTGTTTCTTGAAGCACATTAGTTTTCACCTTACCAAAATTGTAATTATTTGTCACCATTATGAAAACGTTTTCTTTACTGCATGTTTTGACATTGACAGTTCCGTAATTTATTTGAAGGTGCGTTCACAGTGAAAGTTCAAAGTTGTCAAGTCCCTATTGGATATATCAAAAGTCAATGGGTCATTTGAGAATCAAAACCTTGAGTTTTTAAAAGTGCTAGTTTTTTTCTGAGACCTTGATGCAGGAGGACTGTCCAAATAAAACGAGATAATGGCTGTAGTGTTTTTATTCAGCACTTCACAATATGAAAAACGTTAGCTTTAATACAAAAAATAGCAGTTCAGTTTTAGATTCTTAAAAATGCTGATTTCCCCAACGTATCTGAAACAGAAAAAATAATGTTTCAAAAAATATGTAAAAGGAATACTGAAGTGAACGCAAGTTCGGATTATATATTATATACTTACATCACTTCTCTGACTCAACCTCTTGTCAATGATTCCACACAGCGTTTCCGATCTCACTGAGAGAGAATCAATTTTTTCTATGAGCTGCTGGTAAGGCGACAAGGGCTGAGCTCCCATTACCACATGACCCAGTTTTGAATCAATTTTGGCATCCAGTCCAGCTTTCCTATAAACAAATACAAAATTACAGACTACATAGCAAAATATTTCTTGAAATCTTGAAAATCTGACATCAACAAGTATCGCATACTCATAGAAAATATACAGGGTGTCCGCAAAGTTGGGGTTTTCCTTTTCAGAAACAACTACCCTTGAAATAACAAAGGTAATGTGTAGTGAAAGGAGGGCGACCAAGTAAAAAAAAATAAAGGAAAAAGTACTCTCCAGTTGACGAGAAGGGCTAAGTACGTCTCTGCCCGAAATCATACCGCTCCAACAGAAAATGAAATCAGCTGATGCGCTACCGAGCAGACGCAGAAACCACATTGATTGTCTTACACTTAATGGCACATCTTCTAACAAGGAAGGCAAAATGTTGCGTAAAAAGTCTAGGTATTGCATCCCGTCCAATCGATTTGGGAGAATAAATGGTCCAATGAGCATACCGTTCACCATGCCAGCCCAAACATTCACCGAAAATGTTTGTTGAAAATGTGCCCGACGGACAGCGTGCGGATTTTCTACTGACCAAACATGAGTGTTGCGAAAGTTATTCACCCCATTACGCGTGAACGTAGATTCGTCTGTCACCAATATGCACTTCAAAAAGTCCGGATTATTGTCATGTTGATGCAACAACCACTCACAAAACCGCACTCTTGCTGGAAAATCGTCAGGTTGAAGGGCTTGTACACGTTGGACGTGAAACGGATACAGCCCCTCTTCACGCAGCGTTTGCCACACTTTAGTTTTTGATACTCGCCCTTCTCTAGCCACGTCTCTAGTGCTTGTTGAGGGATTCTCGTCTACGCGTTACCTCTACACGCGTGACCGTAACCGTCGGTTGAAGGTTGCATACTGACCTGACACACTGACCCCGACCCAGTTCTGTCGTCGGGTTGAGACCTTGTACCAATCGGTGATGTCCCGGGTCGCGGCTACAGGACGGTATTCAGATATTTTTGATGTTGCAGAACCCTTTATCTCGGTTCCCTTAAGACATTGGTGTATATGGTACTAAGAAAAATTGCTTATGTTTTCAAGATCTACACGTCGTGTAAAGGAAAACCCCAACGTTGCGGACACCCTGTATATATTATTGGATCCTTTGGCGCAGGAAGTATGATTACTATATAGTTTTATCATTTGGCAAACTGTGATACGTGTTTTGCTATTTTAGAAGTTTTAACATATGTCAAGTATTGCAAAACCAGTTCGGTGAGTGGTAAAACTTTGTAATAACCATGATTCATAGTTGAACAAAACTGTAGAAAATACAATATTTTCCATAGACAGTACTATTTATGGCGGACAAATATTACCTTATTAAATTGACGATCCAGCATTCTGCTTCGTCTGGGTTCATGTTCAGTTTTTCAGCCAGCATTCCTATGCTGATGCACTGGTGTATCCGACAGAAAGTCTCAAAGATCATAAGCCTAGCGTTTTCTACAAATGCATCAAGGCAGGAGATAAGGAAGAAGTCATTTGAAACTACTGACTTGCATTCGTGTAGTTTTTGTCTAGCCCCTTCAAAGTCGAAGTTTACATACAGATGTTCGAGGAATTCTGTAATTGGATCCCTGCAATGAAAGATAAGCAAGGTAAGAAAATGGAGAACACAGTTTGAAATTACAAAATGCTTGACATGACTCTGCTAATTCAGATAAAGGACGTCAAATAAGCTGAATCTGCTTAAAAAAAAAAGTGTCAATGCCAGAAGATGTATTGGACAGAGAGCAGCTCATCTCTACAGAAAAATCCTGCTGTTTAAAATATTGGATCAAGTGAAATTTTGTCAAGATTTCGTTAAAATGAGAATCAATGATGATTAAATATCTGTGTGACGAATTTCATGTATGATTTCGAATTTACAGATTCTGGAATCAGACATTTTAAACCTGTTTTGAAAGCTTAGTATTGTAGTCATATCATTCGTAAATGTTTATTTTACGATGGGCCACAAAATATAATTTGCCTCTTAAAAACAGTAAAATATGTCATTTGCTACTTAATGGTGACCTTGACCATGACATTCAAGGTCATCCCAATTTTTTTGCCCATAAATGAAAATTGCGGAAAATTTGACATTTAAATATGACATTGACCATTCTTAAATTTTGACCTTAGAAGGTCATTGTCAAGGTCAAACCCAGAAATGGTGAAATACTTGTAAACCAGTAGTCACATAGGGAAACTACTAAGAGATTATTTTCATCATTTTCCATGGATATCCAATGGTGACCTTGGATCTGACCTTAACCAAGTTGACCTTCAAGGGCATGAGAAGGTCAAGTCGATTTGTGTAGCCACAGAACAATCCTGGAAGAACGTTAGGTCAGTTTATCTGGGGATTACAGTTTTCTGAAATGTCAAGAAAATAAGATGAACTTGTGCTTGACATTGATGGTTAAGTTTCAAAAATGGTCAAGGACATATTCAAACACAAAATTTTCCCTTTTCATTTCTGCAGCAGAAAGTATAAGATCGCATTAACAAATAGTTGACCTACAAATGACCTTGAAAGTAATGGCCAAGGTCACCATTTGATATCCGGGAAAAATCATTACAATATTGTCCCAGTAGTTTACCTACTGCCATTCAAGTTGCATTACCGTACCTGGGTTTGACCTTGACAAAGGCCTCTTAAGGTCAAAATTTAAGCATATATTTGAACGCAAAATTTTCCGTTTTTTTCATTTTAGGGGTCAATATGGGGGTTCAATTTAAAAAATTGACATGACCTTCAAACGTCCTTGAATATTATTGTCAAGGTCAAATCCAATCGCACCATCACCTGATTCTACAACTGTTCCAATGAATGAGTGTTGTTATCATTATTATCTTCCAATATGGAAAACAATTCTAGTTATCTTCCGATATGGAAAAAATCCTAAAACTGAGCTCTCACCTATAGGTATAACTCTCTTGTTGTATTACTTTCACAACATCCTTCAGAGCAGACCTCCTGCTAGGGTTGATAATAACTGCTGTGGCCAAATACCTCAATATGTGAGGGCACATTGTTTGAATGGCATTCAAGTAATGTGGTCTGTACAAAAACATGTCAATGATATATTCTCTCCCGAGCTCATGATTGAAGAATACAAAAAGTGACCAATGGATAAGCCACGTTCTCTGCTGGAGTAGTTGCAAGGCATTGCCTCCAAACTGACTGGGACTCGAGTCGATGTACTCTCTCAGCTTGTTGAGATCCTCTAGTGCCGAGTCCCAGTTCTGGTAGAGGATTTCTGAGGCTAGTTTCCCCCAGAGGGCACTCAGGTAGTGTTTGTCATTGGGTGGAAGCACTAGGAGGCAGAAGTAGAGGTAGGAAGTAGACACTGCATACATGCCACACTCATAACGGTATTTAGCCAATGTGTGCAAACTGTCTACCATCTCAATATTAATCTGTAATAAGTAAAAAATGAATCAGTTTTATTTTTATCTTAATACTTGATCATTTCTATGATAAATGGAAAAAGTGCAATATTGGTATTTGATATTTTTAAAACATTGTTGGCAAAATTATGCAATCATTTGTCGCGGTCAGAAACATGTAGCCTTTGAACTGTGCTACTGGATTAAAAGCCTTAAAAAAAAGATGTCTTCAATATGTGCATTTCTTAATCATGGGTATCTTACAGCTGACACATCAAATAAAGATAATAGATTACATATTTAAGTTTAAATTGATTTATTAATGGTTGAACAAGCTTATATCCTGAAGTACATCTCAATAATGGCCTTCTATGTAATGATTTTTTTCACTATTATATTTTATTAGATTTAAATATTTCCATAGTGTAATCAATCATCATGGTATTTCATGCTCATTTACAAATTTGAAACAATTAGGAGTAAGATCTCAAACTCAAATGAATGCAATAAGAAACAAACTGGTCTGTAGACTGGACCATTGTAGTTTCAGAAGTGCATAAAGTGATATTACTAGCTGAGTTTTCACCCTACTAGTAAATATTTTGTATTATATAATTTAGTTGTCAAAATGACATAGTGAAGTTAGCTTGATACAATGTTATATGACATTCATTATAATTCACCTAGGCGATTTTTGTTTTCATTATTTACCCAGGGGGAAACAGTTACAAGATACCTTCAAAAAATGACTACATGCAATAGTTTATACACCCTTTTATAATTCAAATTGAACATTTGATGTTGGCATTCACATAAAACTGCATCATTTTGAGCAGATTTATAGCAATGCCTTACATAAGCATTTTTATTAATGTTTCTTACCTTGTAGGTATTCGTAAGATAGTTGATGAGTGTTTTCGAATCCCTCATCGTCTCCATATTCTTTGTGAACTCCTCATCATCAAGAACCTTCAAAATAGGTTCTACTTCTTCTTGTAACTGGTGGAGCTGCGCAACAACGTGCGATCTCCTTTCTTTCAAATCCTCGGGTACTTCTTCCTCTGGGTACAATTCTTTCCTGATATCTATGGCGTAATCGATCATGTTGGTTTTACTCAATATATCCAATTTCGCTTTCAAAAGGTCGTTCTTGTTGTACGTCTGAAAATAGGCAATCATCAACATCTGTTACAGCCGGAGCGAAAGTCACTTACTCCCTTGGCGGAAACGAACTCAAGCAAAGGAAAGACGAGATGCCGATCCAAGTATTGAGCTATTTTAGAAGTCAAATCGAACTTCGCCATTTTTGCAAAATTACATTCACAATTTAGGCGACAGGGCGACGTGGTTTTTGTAGCACGCAAACAAATAGGTTAAGTTGAAAAGCTTGACAGCTCTGTCGCTGTCATCAACATCAAACGTCTTTTTTTATAGAGATGAGAGGTTAGCGATGAATTCGATAGTTTTTTGCACATAGAACTGGACTAATTAAGTATGAGATATATGAGTACTACTATCCACCATCTTTGACCTTATGGTATGCTTGTAATTATTATATGGCACTATATCCATTATAATCATGTGTGTACAATATTCATAAACAAGCTGGTCTCAAATAAAGATATCAAATCGAAATAAGGCGGAATAGAGTACAGTTGTTGATTCTATGGGCAAAATAACGTGGAGATTTAAAGTATTCATAAGAAACCAGTTATGTACCAAAATTTCAATCTTAAAACCGCTTTTTTCTTCTTTCAATATTTTCATAAATAAGTCCACCCAAGGTTTAGGTAGTTTGAATTTTTGCACATCTGATCAGGGGATTAAACAACAGCAGGCAAAGAAAAAACTCTCCTTTTTTATACCTTTAATAGTGTAATGGTAAAGTATATACAAAATTGCAGGAAACAAAATTGTTAGAACTAGGTCTTTTTGGCCAAGTGACAGCCACATATGATGTAGAAATTAACCATTACTGACATGTTGACCACCACAGAATACACATCAAAATGGCAAAGACATTAAAGAGTAATTCATGTGATTTTTGTTTGGCTGAAAAATGAGGTTTATCAACCTCAAAATGCAGGATGATAATCTCTCATGTTGTTTGGCCAATGAAACCATATTTATATTTGTTCTGACTGAAACATATACATTAAGGAGGAATTTCAAATATATATGTAGTTTCATTGGTATTGGTAAGACTAACATAGGGGATTATCAACATAAAAACCACAAGACAAGTTTCACATATTTTATTTTTGGATACATGTGAAACCACAGGTTTCAGATATTACATTAATTACATGATTACTTTCAAATCCGATATTAATGATTTATCTAAGCAGCTAAGTTATTTACAAGACTGACCTATATATTTATCAATAGGATCATACTTCCAGCTAGTCTCTTTAAGGTACTCTAGTTCTTTTCTCAGTGATTTTATCCTATTTTGATGCATATCTTGTATGCTGCCTTCAGCATTAGTGTTAACGATTTCGAAGCATCTGACAGCCTTTCCAAATGGTGTAGAAGTGTCTTCACTTTTATCATCTAAGCCAAGTGATAGCGTTGCATTTGGTACAGTTGATGATGGAGTTTGCAATGACATTCTGGCTTCAACAGAGGTTCAGTTTCACTACAGACGATCCAGACCATCAGATCCGCTTCAAGCAGCGGCTTATTTTGGGGTAAGAAGTCGCCTTATGTATGTATGCTTCCAGTGGAAGCTTCAACACATTATGAACAGTACAAGATACCTGTATACGTAATAGCAAAGTTGAGTATGGAACAGTTTTGAAAAACGTTCTAACAATCTGTGCCACAAGTTCTAACTTTAGGTGATATGCTGAGCTGATGTGATTGAAATTGAAAAATTGTATTTACATAAATATTTTAGTTTTGACCAAGTTTTGACAGATTACAATAGAGATGGAAGTTGTGAAGTTCTAGCCATGGTTATTCGACTATCGAGTCGCAGAGTTGGATTTTCAGTTACTGATAATTATATTGAAAGAGAAATACCACTACACAAAGAAGACAAGTGTCGTTTACTGCCATTTTCATCACAACAAATGAAAAAACGTACTTTTACAATTTCTGATTTGCATTTAAGCTAGCTAACAAATATTGTTCAATGTCAATTTTAGGGATGGAAATGGTAAATACGAATACCTGTATTCTTGGCAAATGAACCTTTTATATCTCACGGTTTTGTGCTATACATGACGTTTGTGCTTAATGTCATATTTGTCATTGTCAAAAATTTCATATTTAAAATAAACTGTTAAAAGTTGGTTAAAACGTTCAAACTACAGTTATTTATCTGTTTCAAATATTCACATCTATTATGGCAACAAATGAGATACCTCTTCTTGAAGAATCAGTAGTTAAACCACGGAAGGCGACTCGTCGGTCAATATTCGATGTTAAAGAATCTGAACAAAGTTCAAACAATACTACCCTAGAAACAACAGTTTCCAAAGCTTCTCTAGAAGTTGATCCTATGTATCCCATTGAATATATTGAAAAAGTTACGAAAGAATGTTATCAGTGGAAAACGTTATATAAAGATACAATAACAGAAGCACGACATATAAAAGCGTAAGTTGTCAACAGCATGTTAACCCAAAATAATATAGCATTTTATTTCTCTATTAGTTTTCAATGTTTGTGTGAGTGTGTGTCTCGTTAGATGCACTAAAAGATTGTTATTTTTTAGGCACGTAGAAGAGAGAAAAGCTGTGGTACTGCAAGATACTAGTTTTCTTCAAGAAGTCAAAAGGCTGGACGCTCTGGAAGCAAAATTTGAAGATTATCTAAAAAGAGCTCAACATTTTTGTAACCAACAAATAATTGAACAACGCATCAATGAGTAACATACATAACTTGGGTGGATTCCTCAAAAGATTGATTTGAGTACCTAATAATAATAATAATTTTAAGTTAATCCATTGATCTTCACAATAAAATATACACCTCTGTAATGTGCGCTGTTATGTTGCTTTGAGTCTTTATAAATTTATTATATATTTACATTTTTATTTATAGGTATATAATCTATATTGAGTCTTTTTCTTTGTAGCAAATGTGGGAGCTCGCTATATCACAATGTTTTGCTTATATCTTGGATCATTCATAAAGACGAAATGGTCACATGATTTGCTGTTGAATAAAAAACCCACAGTATCAGTTCCATTTATGAAATATCAAAATATTTAATTAAATGTAATATCCCATCCCAGTAAACATGGAGACGTCATAATGTCGGCATGTTTAGGGACATTACTGAGGTACGTTGAGCAACAAAAATGACGTTATTGTGACGGTCAAATATCACGCCCAACTGACGTCATAGTATGTCGTATAAAAGACCAAATACAAAGTTGGTATAATGTCTACCAAGCCTTATTGACCAAGTGGCAATACTAACGTCCCTACTAAATTGTACCACAATGTATCTAAAAGACGACAAAGCCATCGCGATTTCGGACAAACCGATATAAATATCAAAACAAAATGGCCGAACCATTGCCAACAATATTATTGTTAGAAGAGTCATATTAACATATTTTTGATCAAAGAATTCCTGATACTTTTTTATAAATAAAAATAAAGTATTTGGATATCTAGTTTACGATACTATTCATTAAAAATCTTTGTACGTTAGCGTGGATTTTTTAGTACTGAATGTCTTAAAAAAGACGTCAAAATGACAGCTGCTTAAAGGACGTGTCGCTGTCATAAAGTTGGCGCCACTAAATACGTCATTTTTTAGTCAATGACGTTTCCGACCAAAAGTAACCGGATAATGACGTCATTTTGGCGTCATCATGCTCACTGGGATATTTTATTGCACATTCGGATAGTCTCTTCCTCAGGAAGAAGATGACATACCTTTTCTACAGTGTTTTGATCTTGTTTGCTAAAGCTAAACCGCGTACATAAATGTGAATCTGATGTCTTTTTGGTATTGGGAATGATAGAGGTGCCAAAGATATTTTTTACATTAAATTTTCCCCAACACGGTGGTCAAAAGAAGTTGAAAATGATCTAGAAATCGCGATACGATAATCCTTTCGGCAGATATTTCGGCCATAAATGGTTTTTTCGAATTTTTTACTGGTTTATCGCACTTTAACCAATTTTATTACTTTAAACTATATGAAAGGATAAATCGTTAAGTTCTCAGATATCTTTATTTCTCGATAAACACCAATTGTCTCTTTGTGGAATCTTTTAAACTTCAAAATTTTTTACATCATCTTGTTTTAACTCATCATTCCGCCACTAGATGATGATAAGTCGATTAAATCGAGCACATCTCTATATTTACGTCTGTAACATCTCTAGCTCAGGCATTTGTCAATGCCATTTGTCATTTGTGTCACTTTTTTAAGGCGTAGGGTGTAGCGTAGGCGGGAAAAGTTCTTCTACCTATGATTTTCCACTTGTTTGCTGTTGAAAAAGGAAGTCAATTGGCAATCGTGTTCTCCCTGAGCATTTGTTAACATAAGAAAAAAGTGTTTAGTGTCTTAACAGGTAAGTGTACGCGCTGAATGTCGGCTAATTCGAGCAAGATGCTGTCGGCGTCTTTTAAGAATGTAATTTTTTTTTTAATAAAAACACTTTTTTATAATTCGCCTGTTTATTTATTATGCATTTTTGATGAAGTTCTGAAGACCCTACGAACGTATTATAAAGACATCTTTAAGACGCACAGGTTTTGTAACGAACGTCGTCTTTATAACGTCTTCAAGATGTCGTACAGCGTCAACAAGACGTCTCTAATATCTCAAAAATGACGTTTCTAACACGTCTCTATTTGGGTAAAAACGCGCGCTGTCCCCTAGTCTACAACCAAATGCACCGCCGCGTTGCTGTTTCTAAGCCCGTCGGGACCACTCGCGGGTACCACCTTTCACCTTCTTCAGCGGCAAGCCCATCGCGAAGCTCTTCGGCGGTGCTAGCGACGTCAGTCTATGAACGAGAATCGAGGGGCGATCTGACGCGCGACACTCTAGTACCATCTTGCTGGAATCTCGTGATACTCAAGAAGTACCTTCTGGTACTCGACGCGAGTGTTGCCGAAATATTAGACCTAAAGTGTATGTGTGAGGACCGGGGTAGTGTGGATTTTTCCTTTTTTTAATGCGACCCTAGACTAGGATACCATTGCAGAGATGATGTCGGTAAGTTTGGTACCACTAGATGAAGATGTACTAGGGTTCAATATTCGCTTTTGAAGAATCCTTGACTAGAATCAACGACATGGTGTAGAAGACTGTTGAAAGCTAAGATAATTGTTGGGTTTTGAACGTTTTACGCAGTGTAAAAGTAGAATCCCGCCGGTGAACCCAGAGAGCAGAAGCGACGACGCGTATAATCGAAAGCATTTCTCTATAATTCTAAGTTTTGAGGACAAATTTATGGGAGAATATATCTAATAGGTGCATAAAATTACCGTGGCTGTGAGCGTATGAATGTACTAACATAAAAAAATGAAATTTATCTTCCCCTATCCTTTGCAACCCCTGCTTCTGAAACGTACAAAAACAAAGTTTGGACGATTTTTATTATTTTTGCTTTTTTCCAAACAATTTGCGTTTGCAATACTTCCCCGCACCACCAGGCGTGAGAAGTGAAAACGACGGGAGTTTCTTACTAGAGTTGTGAAACGATTTATTATTCTTACAGAATCAGGAAAACTTCTTCCAGTATATTGTTTGATATCTCGTTGAAGAGGTCAGATATTTTTTTATACACCGCAGCAGCAACGCAAGCAAAAGCCTAAATGCCAGAGTACCGCGGCTGTTATTAGGATCCCAAAGAAACTTTATTAAGGCTCCTCTCTAATTGCGAGCGAACTCAGAGGTGCGTACTTTCCCTTGCCCCGTCTAGGTCGACCAATTTTACTCTTCACTTTGGCTTCAGTGCACAATGCATCCCAGCTCTTAGTCGTTCGTTTTCTACAAGTAAATTTCGCACCCACAATATTGAGTTTCTATTGTTCAGTCCAGAATAGCGTCATAGAGACACAAACAGAGACGGCGATTATTTGCTCTCGATAAATATTTAATCGATACGGATTTATAAAGAGCACAATATTTCAAAATTAAGGCTACATAGAAAGACATTTTACGTGGCTTTTTTCTTCAGATTTGACAGACTATATCTTTGTGAATTTGACGTTGTATTTTCCCACTGCATTGTTATCAAAACCCACGCACACATCTATGTCTCAATAATCTGAGGATTACATAAGAACAGAATGAGGAGTACTAAGTACTTTCTTCCATTATTTGGAGGTCAACCGAGATGCAGTTGGTTAAATACATCATCCATTTTACGCCAAATCGGTAATTTTGGAAATAAGTTAGATGAAATTAAAAAAACACATTATTTTCATCATTTTAGTATGTATATTTTGCTAATCGATAAATGGTATTTCCATGACGAATAAGTACGTGACTGAAAACAGAAATGCAGAAAAAAGTGATTCTTATCATAAAACAGATGTTGAATGATCAAGTTTATTTTGAGGAACACAACAGTGAAACAAACAGCCTAGCTTTTCCACAGTAGCTGCCGATATTGATGAACCAGATCAATTCCTCGGTGATCTGAACTCCGACCAGCCGAAATGAAAGGCTCTTTGGCAGAACTCGACCTTCGTCGAAACCGGATGAGCGCCAGGACGGTTTTTGCTCGTCATGGTGCGTTTTGGAAGCATTAAGCTAGAACCAGCACTATTCAAGAACTACCTCCTTCCGCTCTGCAAATGCTTACCGATGGCAAAGTGGGGGCTTGAACTTCGCTCTGCTCTTTGCCCCGGGGGCCTTTCGGCAGTGGTGAAAATATAAAACAATACTGTGAAGAATAAAAAGCTGTGAAACGTTGAAAGAATCAACCACACACATTGTTGACGTACCTCCGTGTCGGCTGATATAAAGACAAAAGGTCGTTATTCGTATCCGTGACAGCCATCTTAATGCAGTGTGGATTGAGTACTGAAAAGACGAACAGGATATTCAGTGCTATGCGCATGTACCTATCAGTGTGAACTTTTATAACGTTGAGTCATTTCATGTCAAGCGGATACGATACTCCTATAATGTCCTATGTCAATGTTCCTAAAAGTGTCATTTTTTGAAATTCAGAACATTAAAAATAACTGCCACAAATTTAAGAGTAACGAAGGCAGTAATTGCAAAGCGATAAACAGGTAAGCTTAGGAGTGACTCTTATGTAAGTTGATTTGAAGTTAATTATCTTCGATCACTTGGAGTATTGTCTACGTACTGTTTACATAAATATCAAGATGGACATTTATACACGTAGATAATGATGCATTTTAAATGACGTAGGCAATGATCCTATCACCTTTACAGTTGTTATTCCGAACATCTAAAAACTTAATCGTCATGTCATCGTTTCAAAGCAGGTTTCCTCGTGCTTTCTACATAATCAGCAGTTATCCTAGGTTTTTATAATATAAATCATGATAGCCTCACCAATTAGCCAAAAAATTTTAAGGTTTTTGTATCAAATACCCTGTATACCGTGGATGAATAATTTGAATATATCATTAAATAATTTGGAAATATTTCCAATCAAAGCTCATAAATCATGCTACGTATTTCAAAATATTTTCTCGAATACAATGGAATTTTATATACCTATACTCATCAGTTACTGGTTAAATATCAACTCAAAATGCTGTAAAACGGTAAAATATCGTAGCTTGTTTCTAATTGATTGCCATATTGGTTTCTTCCTAAGGTGTGTTCAGACGATTTCACTTTGCTGATTTAAAATCTCAACTCCATTGTAAAAGGTAAGTGGGCATTTCCAACGATCCTCGTCTGGTCATTGTCCGTATAAAAGACGTCAAGATGAGGTAGCTGAATGCCTTTATGAAAGAATCTAAACAGGTATTATTCGAATAGCTATATTTTATTATCGTTGTGTATATTTGAAACTGAGTAACTGGCTTCTCAAAGTTTTGTTAGTACCTAGCTGGAAAAAAGCACCATCATAATAGCTCTGCTTTCTTTGAAGTGACCTAGTCGAGGCAGACATGGTGGCGAGCGTCTACTCAGTGTCCATAATCATAACATAGTTGTGCCATAAAACAAGAAAAAGAATCCGAATATTTTTTTTTTTTTTTTTTATACTCCAACTACCACGAAGGCCTAAGGCCTAAGCACCCATTGGGTACCGTGGGGCTATGGGGGATACATGGGAAAGGGGGGACACGCCACACGGACTCTGGCGAGGGAACACGTGTGCATGCAACATGCACACATTCTGGCTCCGCCTACGAGAACCGCCGGGTGGTACCTCCGCGTTCGACAGTCAGAGACCATCTACCACCTACGGACAATCACAACATCCATGGCCAAGAGAAACATATCTCCTGGGACGGGACTCGAACCCGCACAGCGCACGGCGGCTGATCAGGAGACCGAAGGGTCTACTACTGCGGCCACCGCTGCTGCCTAAAACAAACACGCAACATCCATGGCGAAGGCGAGATTCGAACTCGCGGCCCAGCCGGCCGGCTGATCAGTAGCACGACACTCTGACCCACGCGGCCAACCGAGAATATAAATCGTAGTTGCATTATTCAAATTTTGTGAAACATATACCGAGTGACAAAAAAATGTAAACACCTACGTTTGTTTATCCGATTTTAATAATGTCTGCCATATACAGTGTCCCTTACTAGTTAAATGATTAAATTTCAGCTTGATTTATCAACTGAATGCAGAAGCTAGTTCAATAATATCAATAATGTCACGAAATTTAATATTGTTGTATCAGGTATGCATTAGGTGTTCCGAGAAGGGAACACATTACTAGATACATTAAGGATGTCAACTGGCTCACGATGCATCAGAGATGGATTGTACACTTGCTGTTCATAGTACAGACAGTCCTATTAACCAAATATCCAGCATATCTGAGCAGCAAACTTTCATTCAGAAGTCAGCATCACTCGGCGAACTTAGACTTTGTAGGTTATACCCTCGATATGCCCCCCCCATTAATCAACAGAATTCACGAAGTGCTTCTCATACATAGTGCCTTTTCTTTATAATTGTCTACCACCAGATCTGTTTGAGTAACAATAATTTTGAAGTTAAAATTAAGCAATTTGTTCTCGATAATACCTAATTTTATATCAAGCTTTCATCTTGTAACAACATTAAGTGTCTGGTTGCGTTTGACTTATGCTTCTTACTTGTGATTACATAGCTAAATGTTACTCATTTCTTGTTCTTCTTTATGTTTTTCCTTTTTTTATTATTTCTGTCTCAGTGAGTGCGTGAGTGTATGTGATTTAAATCTGTCTACACACTTTACACACTATTATCTTGTACTTGTTACTTCTCAGTACTATATGTCTTGATCATTATTTTTTTGTAGCTGTGATTTTTTTCTGTTTGTTAATCTTATGTAGCCCTGGTTGGTACCAAAAGCAGCTATCAGCTGATATACTCGCCAGGTAAAATAAAGGCATATTATTATTATTATAAATCGATATGTCAAGAATTCTTGAATTCTAATAAACATAAGTAAGTGTTTACTTTTCTTTGCCACTCAGTATATTTGTCAACAATAGGAAACAA